AAATAAAAATTAAAAAATAAAATAAAATAAACAAATAAATACAAAAAATAGTAAAACAATAAAAAATAAAGGCATTAAAATAATATAATTAAAAGGAAATAAGATAAAATAAAATAAACAAAAATAAAATAAAATAAAATTAAATTAAATTAAATAATTTAAGATAGACCAATAAAAAAATAGTAATTATTGTAGGTTATTTTAAGTTTTTGCACCTCATAGACGAATCAAAGCTGCGTTCTTTACCGTGTAAATGCCAATGCGCCGGTTTTCATTATTTAATGCGCTCGCCCGTAATTTTGCTTTAGCAGTTTTCTCATGTGTAGATCATCCGACATTCGACATACATATGTACTAATTCTACTAAAATAGGATGTGATTTTACAACTAAGTAGTTTAAAGCCTTTCATGTCTTTAGCTAAAAATTCATTTGAAAAATTTCAGATATTTTTTCAAATTAATATACCACAATCTGAGATCTGTGTAGACATTACAAAATAAAATTATTATTTTTTGCGCCGATTGGAGCGATCTTTTATATTCAGCTATTTACTTGATTAGTAGCTACTCAAAAACAACAAAATATAATAAAAAACTATTTATGACATAAACTTACGACTGTGCGTAGAATATAATATTGTTTAGTGCATAATTTTCATTCAACACTTCCCTCTTACCCCTTCTTTAGGTTTTTCTCCTTCCTCAATTTATTCAATATATGTATGTACACTATGTGTAAACTATGTTTTCTTTCATTCAACTGTTCAAGTGCCGGCTCTCCAGTTGAATAAGTTGTGTTCTGTTCCAATTGGACCACATCGTGAGAATAGAGCGATCGCAATGCTTGCGCTCAGTCGGAACTAAAATATAAAAACATTGTAGGAACCGATCAATAACTTAGTAGTCGCTGATTGCTTGTTTCAATTGGTCTAATTCTCAACGCGTGTGTGCGTCGTTTAGTGTGCTTTATCATTTGCCGGCTGCACTGATTTGTCAGTATAGATCCGACTGGTGAGTACTTTTTTTGTCAGAGTGAATGATTATTGTATATTTAAATTGTATTGTTAGTGTTAAATTAAAATAAAGAGCAGATAAAAACGGATCATCGAACAGCTGGGAATTTTATATGGAAATCTTTAACTCACTCACAATTTGTTATTATTTTTGCCTAATTTGCATAATACATAGATATACAGAGTATGTACATATGTCCGAATATGTATATATGTCACGCCTGTGGAAGGCAGAATAAATTCGTACAATACGCGGTTTTCTTATATATAAGAAACAATGAATGAGGAATGCAAACTAAAATTTATTTTTTTGCTGCAAATATGTATGCAGATATTTATTTATTTAGTTATATATGTATGTATGTAAGCACATTATTTGTTTAAAAGTTGTTCAGCTGTAAATGTTGCTTTCAAAATTGTTCGGAATCTGGTTTCATTGCAGTTTTATACGTTAAAATTATTAATAAAAGCAAAGTTTGTATTTTTTAAATTCTTATATGCTACGAAAATATATATATATATATATATATTTATATAACCTACATAGACTATCTTTTTTTTGCCTTACACAAGTAAGAATATTTTTTAAGCAAAACGAAACATATTTTTCTTTAGATTATTTATATACATATATTGTATGTATGTAGCACCAAAGGTTCATGATTTTTTAGACTTCAAATTGGTTTAAAATTTCATCCAACTCTTTTAAAACTCAGTTGAAGAAACAAAAACTGTCTCAAATGTCTTATTGAAGATAGATTTGTTGATGATAATCGCGCTGGAGTGTTTTTTCCTTTCCAGTTATCACTTGTTAAACATTAACCCCCTGGCTTCGAACGTACAGTCAGCGTCAACAGAAAGGTTACACCTTTTTCTCATACATTTCACGCTTGATTTCGGTGTAAAAAAAATTCGAATTTTTGAAATCAATTATCATTTATAAATGATTAAATATAGTTCTTACAAGAAATTAATAGCAATCCAAAATAAACTTTACAAGAACAAAAACAACACATACAAAACCCAATATACACAGTATTTTACTCGTTAAAACAATGTGAACAGTTTGGGAATAATTAAGAAATTCATAAGCTAAAAACTTGTCTGTCTTTCCTTTGCACTGATAAGTGCTTCCAACCTCCTTGGCATGGATTCCACTGAGTTGGACACTACTTCCAGCGAAATTTTAGAACAGTCTTCAAGTAAAACTTCTTTCAGTGTATTCTTGCTGTTTATATTTCTTTTCCTTGTTTGCCGGTCCAAATGCTTTTACAGATGCTCAATGGGGTTGAGGTCCGGTGATTTTCGAGGGTGTACGGTAAAGCTACCATGCTTAGGGTCGTTTTCCTATTGGATTGATCCAGGATTGATCTAAGCCCAATTTCTCAACGCTAGGAGGTAAATTTTTTTTTTAATTGTTTAGGTGATCGTTCTGCCATCAAAAAACACTATCTATCCCCTCCACTTGCCGTCAAGCACACCCAAACCTTCACCGACCACCCACCATGCTTTATAGGGGATGTAATGTTTTTCTGTTCAAACTTTCGATTTTTGTTTCGCCAAATTTAATTTTTTTTTCCCGAAAACTTGGAACTTGCTTTCTTCAGAAAATATTACGCTATTCCAAAACGATTTGTCCTTAGTTTTATAACTTTGCGCAAATTCCAAACGCCGCTTTTGCTTCTGCGTAGAGATGTGAGACTTTTCCTCGGTACCCGAATATACAAGCCATTAGAATGCAATGCTCACCTGATCGTGCTGACACTAACATTCAGTCCGGATGTTCTGTATATTTCTTCCGCCACTCACAACCGACCGTATTTCAGTATTATTAAGCCATTTTGGTATACCCGAACGTGGTCGATCTTCTATTTCACCAAGCTTTTTTTTGCTTATCAATAATTTTTTTTACTGCATTATGAGTTCTTCCAATTATTGAAGCAATTTCACGTATATATTTTTCTTCCTTCTTAAAATTAACCACTAATTTCCTTAAATCAGTTGAAGTTGTCGTACCCATCTCATGTATTTTATTGACACAAGAATACTAAATATCATTAGAATTAGTTGTTGCAATGAAAAAACTATTGATAACGGTATTTTTTTCTGCTCAAAATGAAAATGCGAGGCCTACTACGATATTTGAATACTTTCTTTTTACGCTGACTGTACATGCGCTCATCCATTGAACGCTTTTTGCTGACGAAAAATTTCAATTTCGTCGGATAATCACTCTTTAACTAATATCTGTAATATCGGAGGTATTTGGCAAAGTCAGTGAAGATTTTTGATGATTTTTGGGAAATACATACAATACAATAAATATGTATATATGTGTGAAATTTTCTTAAAGTAAAAAAATACATACAGTGGTCAAAAAAAGTATTCGTCATCAACTAAATCATTAGAAAAGTAAAAAAATAAATAATAAAATAATAATTTTAATAAATTAAAATCTGGATTCATACTATATTTTTCTAAATTTTGCACAACCTTTCCTATTTGTTGGTCTGCCGCCGACCCTTTAAAAAAAATATGGTGATTTCTATTTCCGACACAGTGAGCACCGTTGCGATTTGCTGTTCGAAAAGTAAAAGGGAACAGTGAAATTCAGCACATAACAACACGTTTTCGATGATAAATTTGTACGAAAACGTAATAAATAAACCTATTGCTTACAAGCATCTCATCTGCGATGTACAAGAGATTTTCTTCAACAAATTGGCAAATTTTTGTTTCTACGAAACACCCTTTAAATGGCTACTGTTTATCTGTTACTGTGGCAATAATTTTCATGAAATCTACAGTCTACTCCGTTATCATATTTTCATTCCACAATCCCATTTCGAAAATTTTCCTATGGAAGCCAATTGACCTGCTCTCATTTCCATAAATTTTATTTTCTCTCACATACGTGTATGTATAGCGTTTATCGTGTGGGCAAATCCACAAACAACTTTTGTTGAAAATTCTTTTTCAGTTTAAACGATGTTTGAATTTTCGAGGTATCTTCAGGAAATCGTTAAAAAAAAACATGAAGGTTTCAATAAATAACTAATTCAAAGATGCATAAATCTTATCGTTTGTACAAATATCAGAAAATTGTGGAATGTGTATGTTAAAATCTGGCGTGAATTATATATATATATTATATAACGTCGATATAAATTTTTTTTGCCAACGAAATACGTAAAGGGAATAAAAATTTTTAAATTTGACGGTACCTTTAGAGTGCCGTTAATTATTGTGAGTAAGGAAAAAGAGATTGAAAGAGATAGAGAGAGAAGGAGAGAGAAAAGTGGCAAGTGGGCTTCACAAACTGAAAATAAATTGAGCTGATAAATCTTCACACATTTCAGTTATCTCCATACATCTACTCGTATTTCAGAACACTCAATTGATAATTATGTAAAAAAATATTATGGGTGTGTGAATATCACAAGATGTTGTTGATTTATTTACGAGTATGTATGTCTGCGTTGTACTTATCAGCAATGGTCATGAAAGTGACGGTAATTGACTTCTAGATTAAAAAAAATTGATATCAACATTCTTGCACCTGTTCACAGCTAATTCAAACACACATTTTCACATAAATATGTTTTCGAATTTTATTATAGAAAAAACTTCAAATCATATTCTAAGCAATTCATTCATAATTCATTTCATTCATATTTTATCAGTAAAAAAAATTTGATATTAAGTTAAGTTAATACGTTTACTTTTAATTAGTACTTGGGAGGGATGTTATAAGATTGCCACAGCCCGCCACTGATATTGCTTGCCATGCCGTTCTTACATCCACAAAAAGGGTATCCAATTTTGGGATATTTTTAGCACAAACGACTGGACGGGATGCTGACCATTCTGAGACATTGACGAAATTTTCATCAATAATATTTTTTTTTTAACTTTTCGGTGTCATTTGGATCGTTATCCTGTTGAAATTTCCATATAAGAGGCGAATTTTCCTCATTCTAAGGCAACATGGCATTTTCTAGTAAGACGACGTATTTCCATTTTACCTATGGAGTGGACTAACAACTTTGAAGGAGAAACCTACCCATACCATGCTTGATCTTCCATAATGCTTCAGTGCGCGTGAAACATAACGGGGATTAAATGCTAGGTTAATGTGTCGTCGAACATAACTCCAACCATCAGGTCCTAAGCGATTATTTTTCGTTGGGTCCTACACCAATGAGGATGGGTAAAGTCGACTCATCGTTTTTTTTTTTTTTTTTTTTTTGATTGTAGTCAGAAGTGGTTTCTTGTGTGCTGCTCTTGCTGCTGAAGTTCAGATTCGACCAAACTCCGTGCAATTTTTCTCTTCGATATTTGGGTCTCTTCGCGAGATCACTGCTACCCTGTGGTCTATTTTTGCTGAAGATTTTCGCGGCCCTTTTATTGCGTTCGTCATTGGCAACCGTTTTAAAGTTCCGGATATGTTTTGAGGCATTAAAAACTGTCTTCTATGAGAACAACATTACGTAGTAAATGCATGTGTTGGTTTTAAGAAAATACAACGGTACTATTATGCCCAGCAAGTACTTACGAGAAAAAAGCGTTTCTAATTAGATGTCAACAGCTGTACATATACGACTATCCGTTTTGCTGGTTAGTAGAAAAGAAATGTTCATGATAATCTTTTCTTATGACAAAGTTTAAGCCCTGACATTATATTTGCTAAACTAAATCACTCAAATGACCGTCGCGTGAATTTTTGCACACTTTCGTCTACTGTTTGCGACTTTTTGGACGGTATCTGAGCCATAACTTGACGAATATTCGTCTTCCAGTGTTCAAGAGTTGAGGGTTTATACACATAAGCATCGTCTTTCCCGTAGCGCCACAAAAAAGAGGTAGAGCCTTGTCAAATCGCATGACATCGATACTCAATTGACAACGCCATGCGGAGATATTACGCGTTTTGGAGATTTCCCTTGCAATAAAGCAGTGTTTGCTCTTGTTTTGTGGCATGTGACAGCATTTTCGTTGAAACCACATATTGACCAAGTCGTGTTCTCCAAAAAACTAGTTTATCATACGAGCATAACGCGTCGAAGTGAGAGTATCACCGTTGTCGCTTTTCAAAAATGTAAGCTCCAGTTGCATCTCCCAAACAAAGAGCGTAACAGGCAGTACATTTTTTTGTTTTAAGTGTAAAGGCCTCTCTTCAATTATTTGAGAATTCTAAAAGCTAAAAATGTGATAATTTTGCTCATTTATGTATACCCGTGTGAGAAATGTGCCACGTTGCTGAAGAAAATTTTGTTCGAAAAAGCGCCATCCGCTGCTTCTTGTAAATCAATCATCCAAGCGATGGATGTACGACATTGCGAAAGTCCAGATGGCTTCAGTTATTGTATGAGCTGGACTTCATGTGAAAAAAATGCAGAAAAACATCGTTCCCAGCTTTTGGAAACGTTGGGAAATACCAACATTTGGGTTTTCGACACTTTCACTTACTGTAGCGATATTTGACATGTGGCGCAAGCAAAATGACGATCCACAGGCCTTATAATATCTGTAACCGAGCCAATCTCCAAAAAACTTCAAAATAAAATTTACCAAATGCTTGATTAGTTGGACGACTATGGTGCATCCCCTCTTAAAGCATGAAACGTGACCGCGACCTTTGTAGTAGGTTTTAACAATTTTAATGCGTCGTTTAGTTGCCTGACGTTTAACTAAAATAAAACGTGTTTGGTTTGACAGTTAAGCTCAGGTTGCTTTACAAAATTTCAAAAAATTTAAATGGCTAGAAAATACTCTTATAAATAATATGGAATTAGGTCCGCAAGGTCGCCAAGACCAAGGAGTGAGTTTAGAAGAGGGGAGAGCGGTAAGTCCGGCTGAAGAAATACTTTCATCTCCTCTCTCTCTCTCTCTAAACCACATTTTTCAGCTTAGAACTCATTGAATTTTTCAACATGAACTAAAGCATTTCACTTCTAAAATGTCTCTGTTTTCTTTAAATAAATTTACAGGAAATTACTTTTTTTTTGCATTTTATTTATGTTTACATGAACGTTTTTAATAAAGCAATATACTTTTTGTGTATATTTTTTTACATTGTAAAGTTTAACATAAAAGGATTGACAGTAGTCCAAGAGGACAAAGCTAAAGCACCCCCTCATTGGTGTAAAAAAACACACATCTATGCTTTTTCAGCAAATCCCTAAATTTGAATGACTGAAGCGCATGTTTTAGACATTGAAGATCTCAAACTATCGTTGACATCTTGAGATCTGTTCTCCCAAGCCAATTGTACAGCTTTAAACATTTCGTTCGTGGTTGTATTAATTTGCATCTGTTCGATCTCTCATAAGTTCTCAATGCCTTTACGTCTCAACGAAAGTTTTACAATGCTTCGAGGTTCGGAGCTTATACACTGTGTGTCCCAAAAATAACCGAACTTTTTGGATACAAAATAAAATACACATTATATTATCTTTGAATGTTATTAGTTATTCAAAATAGGTTCCATTTGACTCAACACAACGTTTGGAATGATTAACCAGCGCATGCATAGATTTTTTTATGTCATTTATAGAAATGTTCCTCAGTACCTTGGTTACGGCTGTTTGAATGGCTGTGATATCATCATAAAATGCTCCCTTTATCTTGGTTTTCAGTTTTGGAAATAAAAAATAGTCACATGGTGATAGATCAGGCGAATACGGTGGATGGTCGATGAGAGAAATGCCTTTTTTCATTAAAAATTCAAGCGATTTTTTGGTCGTCATTTAATTCATGTGGAACAAATCGCGCACAGACCTTTCTTTACCCCAAATCTTCAGTTAAAATTCTCCAAATAGTGTTTTTACTCGTATTCAATTCCTCAGCCAACATTCTCGTAGTTAAATTTTGCTTCGACACCAATGATTTCACGGACTTTTTCCACTAGTTCAACACGATTACTAGTTTCTGGACGTCCTGCTCTAGGGTCGTCATTTTACGACTCATACAATCATCACAATAAACTTTTTTCATTAATTTTTTTTTCAAGTTTGACACAAAATTTTATATTTGCTCTTTGTTCCATTTTTTTTTTGAACCATTAGCACACCTTTGGTTTTATTGAAATGGCTGTCACTTTTAGATCTGTCATCCGTCTTACATGATCTTAGTTGCGTTTGAAAGAGGATGAATGTATCATTTTAATGTTGCAAATTTTCAATAGATGGCGCTGTAAGTTGTATAATTTAAATATAAAGTTCGGTTATTTTTCGGACACACCGTGTAAGCGTTGTCTTGCTGGAAACTCAATTTCAAGGCCGTCTCCTCTTCACCGTATGGCAGGTTCATATTTTCTAAATTGTCGGCATATATGAAGCGATTCATAATACTAATTATTGACTGAATTGGTCCGATATCTTGCACAGAGAGACAACTCTAGACCATTACATGACCACCGCCGTATTTGGTGGTTGCAATGCAATGCTTGGGATTGCTTTATTAAAAATGAATATATAAACGTAAATTAAATGCAAAAAAAAGTTAATTTCAGTTCTATAATTTATTTAAATTAAATAAAATTAAATTCAACAAATTTATTTAAAGAAAAAAGCACTGGGAGAATTCGCACTAGGAGGGGGTGTGCTTTAGTTTTGGTCAAAACTGTATATTATACTCCACACGGGTGATTGAGTTATACAATACAAAATTAATCATTTAAAATACTTTGAGGTTCGCTGCTATCTCTTGACTAAGTCCTCCATCGTCGCATACTCCACACTAACATTCCCAGAAGGAGGCCGGCACTAACATCCAATTGTGCTGTTCTTTAAAGTGCTATCTTTTTAACGGTCTATAAAAATACCAAGAACTTGCATATTTTGAACTGCTGGACTTTGTTTATTGAATCTTTAAGCTCATTTGATGCGTTCTTATATTTCTTCGAATTTCTAATTTATTACAGAATAATCTTTTTCTCAGGATTAATAACCATACATAACATAGATTATATTTATGCATGTACATATGTATATGTATGTTGGGCTATACACTTGTGTTATTTCTTATATAGACATACATATGTATATAGCTACTAGATTCTCTATAAGTCGCAGCATCTATAATTTGTTATTAATTTGTTTTATTAGGGCAAGCAAAAAGTTCGTTCGATTTTTGTATTGATTTTTCAAAATATGATAACCTTAATATTGCTTTATTTATTTGCTAATTAATACATTGTTTTGTTAATTTTAATCTTACAGACAACATATATATTACATATTCGTCTTCGAATCTTATCGTATACATACATACGTATATATTATTTATATATATACGCATAATAAAATAGACAATACATTTTACATTGATCGCAAATAATCAACATGTCTCATCACGTAATCGACGTACGTTCCGATACGGTAAGCTTACCGACTGCGGAAATGCGCCAAGCCATGTTCGTAGCTGATGTGGGCGATGATGTTTATGGTGAGGATGTGACAGTAAATGCATTGGAGGAGAAAGCGGCGAAGCTACTCGGCAAGGAGGCAGGTCTATTTGTGCCCAGCGGTACTATGGGCAATTTATTGGCATGTAAGTATATTAAAGAGAAACAAGAAAGAAAAGCTGTCGAATGGTTTATACCTTTCATGACGCTTTCAAATTTGTTGTATTGCATTTTGCAAAAGTTTATTCGAATCAACTTGTGTCGAATATCAAATTTAATATTTATGGACGGATTTTTTTTTTTATACCTTAATGCTTATATCTGAGCTGATCGGTTATGTGGGGTCTGATTATATAAGGTTTAATTTTAATGAAATTCGGTAAGGTATGAGTGTTGACTACCTGTTTTCATGTGTTTAGTTGCTTTACATGATTGCACAAATCGGTTGTATGGCAGCTATCTGATATAGTCGACTGATTTGGCTGGTTTTGACAAATGACCTATATATATAGAAAAATTCAGCCGCATACTAAGTTTCGTTCAAATATATCGAAAACTCAAACTAGTTTACTTTCAAACATACCCACAGACAGACAAAGAGATGAACATGACCAAATAAACAAGGCACGTTATTTTAGTATTATGGGCAAACCCTTCATGGGTCTTTCTCTTTTAATTCTGGTACTTTTAACTAAAGTTAATATCACCATTTTAAAGTAGAATGTATGTCTTTACATGAAGTAAATCTCCTCGGAGGCGGCTAAGTATAAACTGTAGGTCCCTCCATTTGTTGGAAAAACATCAAGATGAGAAACCACAAATTGGTGGGGGAGCACGGCCGAAAATCAGTTCAGCTTTGTGGCGTTTTGTAACCACTGAGGCGATTTTTAGCCCAACTTCTCTTCCGATTAGTGGTGTGTGTCGGGATGTTTTTCCAAAAAAAGAGAGACCTAGTGTTTTTTCTAAGCCGCCACCGAATGGCTGATGGATTTTTATGGGAGCTTTTATTTAGTGTCAAAAGAACAGTTGGAGGGCTTGATATTCGCTGATGTGTGGTAGCCGCAAATATAGAGAAATAATACAACCTGCTAATTATAGCTTCCTTTCATCATCTGCAGTTTACCTGTTTCGTTCTCAGAAGTTTTTCAAGACGCCTTGTATGCTTCCGAATGAATAGCCCTCCATTCAGATTGAAGGTGATACTTGAGGCCGAACAGAAGGATAATATGGCGTGTTTCCAAATGATTAAAGACTTGGTTTGGTATGCTGCTTTTGAAAGGGACTAAAGTAATACCAAAAATTGGCTGACATTGTTTCAGAAAGAGACTTAACTTTCATATAACAGATCTTCTATTTACCGCCCGATCTCTGGGTTTGTGATCGATTCTTTTAGGAATTTATAAAAAAATATGTTTCTACTTAATGAATCCATAAGTATAACCTAAGATGCGGACAAAAGAATTTCTTGATTTGACCTCTAAGGGGGACCTCTAAAGGGATCGCCGTGTTGCAACAACCGCCTTATTCGCCCGATATGTCACTCTGTGACATTTTTTTGTTCCCTAGAATGAAATTGGTGGTCAAATGAACCCATTTTGAGTCGATTGAGGACATACAGGCGGCCGTGACGAGGGTTCTCGCAGACATCCCAGTCGAAACGTTCTAGAAATGTTACGAAGCTTGGAAAACGCGCTGGAATCGTTCTATAGCTGCCCAAGGGGACCACTTTGAAGTCGAAGAGAGAGTTGTAGAATAATTTTGAAAAATACGGTCTCGTATCTCCCACATTTCTGGACTTTAGTCCTTTCGTGAAAATCAGATAAGTCTCTGGACGTTTAATTAAAACTAGTTTTCCCTATGAAAATAAATTAAAGAAATTTTGAAAATATCCAAAATTTTAATTGATTAAAAAAGAAAAAACAAAGAGGTTTTCAATAAGAGGAGTTATGTGGTTGTTCAAAGAAACTTTTTCTTTAAGAGATTGATGGTTTCTTTGCTCTAGTGGCAAGAAGGGTCGTATTGTTGAAAGTAAACTTTGTCCAGCTCAATACCTTCCAATTTCGGCCAATAACAACTCATTTATCATCTCTTGATAGTACAATCTATTCATTTTCAAAAAGTACATTCCGAAGGCCCTGTTGGGCCATAAGCCGCACCAAACAGCTAGGCGTTGAGTAAGGAGAAGATTTTCAAAAACGAATCTTGGGTTTTCCGAGCCCCAGATGCACTATATTTGCTTATTGACATAGTCATCGAGGTGGAAATCAGTACATCAGTAATTTTTCATGCATTTTAAGCACCCAGTCGGCAAGGACCCGACGTCGTTGTGATTGGTTGGCTTGAGTTCTTCTTTTAACTGAGACCCAAGTCATTCTGCTTAACACGGTGTAATGACGTTTGTGTAATCACCAATTCCAAAGAACGACGAGGAATGAACCAACCTCGGTTGGGCTACAGCAGCATTACTCTCAGTTGTTATTGAGGGACGTGCATATATTTTATTCTTCACATCACTCACTTGTCCTAACAGTACCATTTTTCCACCACCAAGTTCTATATTGCGGTCCAACAAGTTGCTTCACTTCCGACCGAAAAAATGTTTTAGTTTTACGAACCGTCTCTGCCATTCTTTCCAGCCTATTCAAAACAGCACCTCTTATTGGAAAACCTTTAATTACCATATAAAAACTAAATTATTTATTTTTTGCATGAATATTTGGCTCAGCAATATTTTTCATGTACAATATTAGAATACACATTTCTGTCTCAGGCTGCAATTAAAAAGTAACCACATTTTTTGTTCACTTCTGGTACAACCAAATGTAGCAGAAAGCCTACTGGATGACCAAGAAATTTATATATATTTTTTTTTTCTTTACTGAAGATTGCCATTTTGCTCTAATTCCATAAGCACTTAAGACCACATACCTTATAAATAATTCAAACTTGGAATTTTAGCACCTTGCTCAGTGGAAGTGATATTTCTTTATGAATTTCGTATAAAAGTTGCCAGCGCAGGGAGTGTGGGGAAATGGAGAAAGCAGTCAGCGCTGTTTGCTTCTGTTGAGATATGTTGTTTTATTGTTGTTGTTTTCGTTATTGCCGCTGCTACTTCTGTACTACTGCCGTGAGAGTGAGAGTCAAGGAATGTAATTCACTTTCGAGGTTTCTGCACATTTACACTATGTTTGCCTTCCACACAAGTATGTATGTATATACGAAAATGTCATCAAATACCCAGTAGAGAAAGCGTCTGAAACTTCTGCTGCTGAATGTAGCGGCGCGTATCGTAAGTGAGACTTGTTTCTCCATAGCTGCACTGACTAAGCATGCTTTACTAGTTAGTGTAGTAGCTGGTCTCATATCTCGTATATAACTCTTTATGCCAACTCCTGTGGCCTTTCTGATTATCATAATTCTTCAACATCTGACTTTGCTTGGGCTTTGTGTATTTTTAATCTCTGAGGTAGAGTTCAAATTTATGACAATTGAGAGGCTATGGTGTCTTACGACTCTTACTACGTCCATATTCTTAGTTTGCTCATACAATCTAGATACTAAGGAAACTCAAAGAACCTCACGCATATTTTACCTTATTGGAATACTAAACCTCAGCGTAATGGCTCCTATTGAACCAATCAGCGATAGCTTTGAGTTTGACGGAGATGTACTGCATTTTCACTCATTTCTATAGAATCTGTTTTCAGCTTTGTGACTGTTGAACATCTGGATTTTGAGAATGAGCAGAGACTTATCTGATGATAATTGGTTTAGATTAAGAGAGTTCTTTCCTTATGCTTAAGTTCCTAACGCCTGCAACAATCTTGATTAATATTTAGAAGCGTGGACTTCATGAATTCCTCGAAGCTATTTTGGAACTCGCGCTTGATATCTATGAATAAATCAATGCAGCCATTCTTTAACTCGTAGACGGAAAGACTCTCAATATACTGAGCGCCAACAAAGAGAACTTTTATTTTGCTTTGTTTTTAAATCTGCAATTAGTGATTCCATGAAATCTTAAATTGTTTTTTTCTGATACCAAATCTCTTAAGTTCTTCGTATATTTATTCTTCCCAGATATCGATACCACGAAACAAAGGTTAGGACCGTTCATAGCGTTGTGGTATATCTAGTACTTTCCGCCTACTTGACGTCCGATTAACTGCCGTGAATTCTCTTCGATAAGATGGCAGACATTCTTTGTTTACAACAGTCTCGCATGTTAGGTACAACGGTGACTGTGACAATCTAACTCCCACAACATGACTAATTTATTTCCAGAATTTTTGATAAGGTTCGTTCGTAGCTGGTGCAACACGAATGTGAGCAGTGCTAAAGTCGGTCAGTCTCAGCTTAACCGGTTGACTTAAGTAGGGTTAAGCTGCGTAGAATTGACTGTCCTGAGTAGGCAATTGTAGTAAAAGCTATCGGTTGGCCTATCATAAATTGTTTCGAACCGATTTAAATGCCGGACATGAGAAAGACGCAAATGAAGAATTTATGCTTTTATCAAAACATCACTTTGAACTCTATAAGAACAAACCACCTGATATTGTCTGTACACCAACAACATATTGGTTTCGGAGCATAAATGTTAGGCTGTCTATGCAAGTGGTTTCTGTTGGGGCGCAGTGATCAGCCTAGCTGACACCTGCTTGAAGTAGAACCATCCCCAGGCATAACGGAAAGTAAGTTTGTCACTGCACAGACTTAATTTAAAAATGCTCCTAAGCCGTTGGTTCTGAAGAGCTACTGACATGCCTTAAACGCTATTCGCAGAGAGCCAGTCAGCATCTTTATCAACTCTGCTACAGTGAGTGGCATCAGCTTGCGTTGCTTTGTGGGCCCACATTAATACTGACTCAACTAAAGTATGTATACTGTAGTTAACTTTACTTATACAGACTTGGCAGAACATAACAAACGTTGCACTCAAAGAGTTCCAGCCAAACACTGATTACTTCTTTGGAAGTATCCTTCAACTTATTTAGGACTCAGTTGGGCAGAAGAGATTTGGACCATTTTAGAGGACTTCAGAAGAATATTCCATCATTTTTCATTTATATTTTAGAAATTTTAACTACCAAATATATTAGTCAGCTAAGCAGTGACACCTCCAAATAAGGAGCCTCATGTTCCACTTGAATCATACACTTTTCTCACAGGCTTGGCTCGCCCAAATATGTGACGGAAGCATTACACGGCTTATAATTTGTAACCTTTTCATTGCTGGTTAGCTAAATACGTTGTATTTTTGTCTATCTGCAACTAGTTACTAACTAGTTATTTTTGTAACTAGTCATTGAAGAAAAAAATGCAATATTTTTGAAAGTTTTCCCACTCACAACTGCATACATATTCAGAAACACGCCTACGTTTCGTTTGTATAAATATTTAAAAAAAATATATAATATATAAATGCATCCGGCTGCAAGCTTTTATCTATCTAAAATACTTACTTTCGACTAAAATCAACAAATTTATGTTCCTTTCAAACATTACTAAGTATATACATATGTACTTAAACATATATCATATTCTTATCTCGCCATTTTTACACTTTTCAGGTATGGTGCACTGTCATCGCCGTGGCTCGGAAGCAATTGTGGGTGATTTATCTCATGTATACCTCTATGAGCAAGGTAAGTTTCATATCCTAAGAGCGAAGTAAGCGAAGAATTGAAATTAAAAAATTTTTAAATAAAAAAAAAATAAAAAACCAATTCTAAGTGTATAAAAATGTGCGGAGGAAAAAAGTAGGAGAAATTGTGGAAATGCTAAAAATTGCGAAAATTTTCCCATGCATCCCTATGGCATAATGGTTGATAGAATAAAACAGGAAGCCATACGAAAGGTGGTGAAGTAAAGGAATAAAGATCGCTGAGAATTGGGATAGTGTTCCAGGCATCGGCAGTCATTTACATAAATGCATACATACGTACTTTGGGATATGTGGAAGTGTATGCTTATATGTATACCTACATGAAGTGTGTGTGTGTGTGTGAATGTAAAGAGTTACATGGCATCAGCATGTGCTAAAACAGCACACCGGATATGCGAGTATGAATGCCATGCCATGTTGGCCATATTCGATAGCATCTACAAAGTATATACATATGCATATGAGCAAACATGCAAGTACATATATATACATATATATATATAACTATATATATATTATATATTTATATATATTTATGTGTGTGCTTGTAATCAAGTGTTTGTGCACTTGTATAGCCACCTGTATCTGCGCTCGCGCTTAACTTTTCGCAGCTTTCAACTGTACCGGGTTATCCATTATGCGGTTTTGAAAATAAACGTAAAAAAAATGCATTTCAAATAATTTTTTCATGAAATTCCCATTTTATTATAGAGATTGAACCTTGGTTTTATGTATGAAATCCTATATAACTTGAATGACAGTCGGGCGTAGTTTTGCAACCTTCGATTCTCGATCCGTTTGAGCTAGTTTTCGACCACTTTTTGACCCATCATGTTAGCCATGACTTGACTTTCAATGGTTTTCCATTACAAAATTTATCCGCATACATCTCTTGCGTGTGCTAGAAAAAGCATTTTAACGGTGTCAAATTTCAAGATCTCAGTGGTCAACTGGTAGGGCTGAGACGAGAGATTATCTGAGGTTTCTTCAGCTCCAAAAACAAAACTTTAGCTTATTTACATATCCCGTGAATCAGATGTTTTCTTCCTCGCTGAGCTTTGTACGGGTGTAGATTTGGGTACAAGAGCAAAATACGTCATAATGAGCCGTAAAAAAATCCCAGCTCTTGAGAGCGTCGGAAAATGAACGCATTCGGCTCTTTGGCTACACTTTCCATAGAGAGATATTTGAAGTTAAAAACGATGATACAGGCGTTGCAATACCAGTTACCAATCTTTTTATTTTTTACTGGCAAATACTCCGCCTACGCGATTATAGCGCTATTCATCTATTATTTTCGCTGTTTGGCATCAATTGGAAATATCCACTACCTGGTCTTTGAAATGGAGTCGAGGTCTGCCCTTTCATTCTACTTCCACCGGCGGGTACAGCATTGAAAACTTTCAAAACTGGAGTATTCTTATCCATCCCCTTACCAGCGCAGGCTCTGTTTCTTGATTCGCTGAACATTGTCAGTGGTGCCGTAAAGTTCGTACAGCTCAACGTTCAATCGGCTGCGGCATTTGCCGTTCCCAACTCGAAAGGGGTCATAGATCTTACGCTCGTATTATTATCTCCAGCAATTAACCTCGTTTATTATCGAATGATTCGTAGAGTGATTCGTGGAGGTCATTCCGGTTCCTGACGCAGCCTTTGGTGTTGCTTTACGGCAGTTTACATAACCGTATAAGTTTTGGGAAGTCATGGAATTCATACACTTATGGGCAGCTGCTATTCGTGCTGTCGAAGGTGCCTTTAAAATCTGCAAAGAGGAGGTGTGTATCGATCCGCTTTTCATGGGTATTTTCCAAGATTTCGTGCATAGTGAATATCTGGTCAATAATTGGGTGTGATATTACGGCGGCTTATTCCACCTTAGCAGTAGCCGATAATCTAGAACCCCCCCACATACACACTTTATTGCTTCTCAAACGGCCGATTGCTATTCGAGCTGTTTCATAGTCGGTCATTTGTTCCATCGTCAACGTTAGGAGAGTCGGTTTCGCCAACTCCTGGTGTTGCACTTTCACTGCCATTCAGCAGTCGCGAGAAGTGTTGCCCCCCTAAATTCAGTACACACTGGGGATCAGTTGTGTCCCATAAGAGTTGGCTCCAGCCCTGTAACCTTCTGTAAGTCGTCGTATCTTTTCATAGAATTTTCGAGTATTACCTTTGTCGGCCGGTTTCTCAAGCTCTGCACACTACTCTTGCAGCACGAAAGGTGCCCACAATTCAATTGCCGTTTTGTAATTTTAAAATGGATAACCCTATATTTGCTAAGTACTTGCTGTTGGTTTTGTTTTTTTCGCTTTGAACTTTTATCGTTTTTGTTATAGTCATTAAAATGCGCACAATAATACAATTTGCAACAGGATTCCAAAAAAAGGGCGAAAAATGAAAGTAACGAGTAACGGTAAACAGTTAATAGTAAAAAAAAAATAAGGGGGAAAATAATTGAGTTAAAAAAGGTGTATGAAAAAATAAGATAGAGAGTAAGAAAACAAATGTTACACACGGCGAAAAAAAAATTTTAAATACCAAAAACAAACATCCATACATACGAATATATGCTTCGGTTAGCGCAAAGGCAAAAAAAAAAACACTACTGCAAACATACGTGCTCACATACGTGCTCGTGCTGAGTTGTTTGGGCGTAAAAAAAACTAGAAATAATGCTAATAATAAAACTTTTTTAAACATTTTATAAATAATAAAAAATTTTTTTTCGCTTTACCAAGTCTCGACGGATTTAAATGTCCACGACTGACTAATGAAAACGATGAAGTACCGTTGGAATTTCGATAAAAAAAATATTTAAATGCCTCACAGTTGATAAGAAGGCATACAAACATAAATATTTATCATTTAATTACATTTTTTTAACTGTTTAATGCAGAGTGTCAATAAAAGTTTATAATTTCAAATTAACAATAAACTCAAACGCTGATTTTCGAACTGTTGCTTAAATCAAAGCTGGTTCACATTAAGGGGCACATCTGGTGTGAAATTTCAAAAACTTTTTTTTGCATATTTCGGTAGATTACACCTTTGAAAATAACATATTAAAATTTCAATCGACATCTCAAATAGTTTTTGAGTTATAGCAATTTAAAGAGCAGTCACTCGGCAGCTAGAGAGTCTCATTAGCTACGAATGAAAACGATCATTTTATCTTTAAACGCGTTTTTCTCGAAACAGCATTTTCCGAATTTGCTGCAGTGATTACACAAAAACAAATGATCCGATCACTATCGAATTTTTTTTACATGTTCTATATATAATTCTCCGTACAATCGAATCAGACCTATCGATTTTTGATGTGATCAAAAAATGGAATTTTGACAGGCCACAAACGACCAAAATTTTGGGTAAAATTCGATCATTTTTTTTAAAACGCCGTCATATTGTCGATTTTTGATTTTTTTTGTTTATCGTACGTCATTGTACAGACAATATCATCTAGTAGAAAATATTTTTTTGAGATTTCGTTCACGGAGAAGGCCGGAATCACTGCATGAGTGAAGGACCTTTTTTTCGCGCCTTTTGAGATCGACTATAACTTAAAAATGATTTAATTTTTTTTTTCAAAAATTTCACTGTATATTCTTAGAACATGTATAAATATATTCTTGAAATTTTGAAATAATTGATAAAGTATTTTTCCTAATAAAAATTCCCAAAAATCCCCTATTTTAGACCACTACACTAGGTGTGCCCCTTAAATAAATAATTGGGAATCAATTTTAGAGCGCGTAATGCTTAGGGAAGTTAGTCTTGGCTTGAATAACAAGAAAACAAAAAATATTAAATTTTATGTTAACTACCGTCATATAAGAAAATTGCATACTAAAAATCGTCTTGAAATAAATTACAATTTTAGTTTCCGAAAAACTTAAAACCTTTACCTCACATTATTATATTATTATAATTCTCGCTTTGTAGCCGCTTAAGCGATTTTTCGGCCGAGCTCCTCCTCGGATTTGTGGTTTTTGCGTATACTAAGCCGTAAGCCGTAAGCCGCCTCCGTACGGATGATGGTTTTTTTACGAGGAGTTTTTATTTCATATCCGAAATACACTCGGAGGGGTGGACATTGCCTGCCTTTTCGTTCTCAACGTGTAACTGCTCGACGAAATCATTGGACCTTGCTTTTGTCGAAAATTTTGCTAGAGCAACGGTTGCCTTGAATGGATTGCGCTATGAGGTGATTAATAAGTTTTTATATCCGGAATTGAATGGTCTTGGTATGGACGAAGTTTACTTTCAATATGACGACGTTACACAAGCCACACAAGCAACGAAACCAACGATCCTTTAATTGAAAAGTGTCCGGACCGTGTGGCTATTTGGTCAACGCCAATTCAAGACCTCAAAGGTAGAATTCGTGAAGCTTTCAAGGGCATCCAGCAGCCACTTAGCGATTTGATGATGAAAAACTTGATGAAATGTATACAGCCTTGTAAGCCTTGCCGTTGCGGCCATTTGTCTGATATTGTTTTCTATGTTTAATACCATATCTTCCTCCTAACATTGAAATAGGCATCCGATCAAATATCTCAAATAATGCCATACTTTTTAGAATATTAAAAAACACCTTTTATTAAAAACCCAGTCTCTGGCTCACTTTCCGTCAGGATCAGCTCAGGAACACATAAAATACATAAAAATGCATGAAATCGTGCGTCAGCTGTTTAAACCAGCTAAAAAATCACCCTTTATATATATTTATAGAATAGATTTACGCTCTATATTCGCTGAAGCCCCTCCTGTAATATGTGATGTGCGCTTCGATGTTTCTCTTACAAAGGGACGGACCTACAGTAACACATATATAAGAACGCTCCAAGACCAGGGACAAATTGTAGGTTTTGAATAATCTGATCATTTGAAGGTATCAAGGGGAGCAATAGCATGCCAATGGTTCTATTTATTTTTAACTGTCCGACGCCAATTGGAGGCACTAAATAAATACATGATTTGCCCCACCTGATTCCACCAATGAAGTAAAGATCTTCCATTTTCTCTGCTTCCGCTAGAGCTGGAGGGTTCTCGTTTATCCATTCTCTGAACTTTGTAAATGTCACTGCCACCTTCTACTCATCGGATATTGTCACTGCTAATTATCTGTACTTTAAAGAAGAACCAGAGATGTTCACACTATTTCTCATTCACTGCCAGACTCATTCACCTCTCATCTTGATCCAGTCTAGAAAAGGCAGAATTAACAGCCGGGTCTGTTGTGGCCGTTGATGTCAATATCTCAGTCTTCGAAATCGCTCATGACTTAAGGTTGCAACCGATTCATCAGCGATTTGAATAGGATACTGTTTTGAGTTCACTTGATGTTTCTTCTGAATATCTGACACGCTTAAGTTTTTTATGTAAAAGTGTTTTTTTTATTATTTCTTAATGTTTGGAAATATGAACAATTTTTGAGAAGGGCGCAATATTGGAATACTATGAAAATGGATATGTAATGGCGTCCAATGAATCGGGAATGTTGAAGCGCAACAGATGCAAGTTGAATTTTTCTAAGCCTTCTGGCAGATAATCCAAGTGAATTTGCCACAAATCTCCAATAAAAGTCTATTGAATGCATCGTTGTATTGTTTTGTATAGTAATAGCTCGTGTAGTCGAAAATAATAGTTCTGATTTCCACTTAGCTGGAACCTCAGCTACGTCTCCATACATCCGAACTGCAAAGCCGACTGCAACTAAAACGATTACTGGTGTGTTCGGGCTAATAGCAGCACGAAATGTGTTCTGATTTCTTTTTATTTTATTTTGCCACTGTAGAGGTGGTCATGTATGCTACCGAGAAAGAGTCATCGTGTGCCTCTCATCTGCTTGAAAAGCGACGTTTATCTCGTGGTCCTTCCTACTCTTCGAATCTTGAGCACAAATTAAGGGGAAACCGATTGTGGCTATATGTTCGTCTACCAGAGCGAATAAGCATGTTCGGCAACAGAGTCTCTCTCTCATCAAATGTAAAGATAACATGAAATTTGAGCTCTTTTCTGAAACAACTGTTCTTGTCACCTCACTTGGATGGACCCTTTTTGACATACAAACCCTCAATTATTTGCACTTGAATTAGATGCAAATAAAAAAAAACCTTTGCTGAATAAACGGAAATTTACATAAATTTAAAATTTTTGATTTCTTTCCTAAAAGTTTTTAGGGAACCGCATATACTTACGTACGAGGTGTGACAATTAAGTAATGAGACTGATTATATTGCCGCGATTGTGATAACCCTGCAACCTTGAAACTCTCTTTTTCTTCTCCCGTCAAACGCTCCAAATTGGGCGAAACAACTCGCTTGAGCATGGCGAAGGGGAAAACGATGATTCCTGCCTTTTTTGATGGCCGTGGAATCATCCACAAAGAATTTCTTCCACCGGGGCAAACCGTAAATGTAGTCCATTATAGCCAAGTACTCGAAAGATTGTGAAAACGAGTCAACAGGGTGCGCCGAAACAACGTTCGTAACTGGATCCTTCATCACGACTACGCGCCGTGCCACATCGCTCTTAGCGTGTCCCAGTATTTGGCCTTTAAACGGATGACCGCGTTGCAACGACCGCCTTATTCACACGATATGTCACCCTGTGAGTTTTTTGTTGCCTAGAACAAAATCTGTGGTCAAAGGAATCCATTTCGAGTCGATTGAGGACATCCAGGCGGTCGTGACGAGGGTACTCGCAGACATCCCAGTCGAAGCGTTCCAGAAATGTTACGAAGCATGGCAAACGCGCTGGAATCGTTGTTTAGCTGCCCAAGGGGACTACTTTGTGGGGGATGGCAGAGTTGTAGATTAATTTGAAAATATACGGTTTTTATGGAATCCGTCTCATTACTTAGTTGTCACATCTCGTTTATGTATATATTTCGACTAGGTCAAAGTGATTTCCTTCCTCCATTCAATAATTCATGCTTAGTCTAACTATCACTTCGCTTCCATTCGTACGCCTACTTAGAATATGACACATAAATTCGCACACACACATATATATATATACATGCATTTAATCCTTTGACTTTTCTTCTACCAACCTTTCTTCCTCACCCCAGGTGGCGCTGCACAACTCGCTGGCATACAATTAGCCACACTACCCAATAAAACGGATGGCACATTCTGCCTTGAGGCGCTGCGTCGCAAGGTGCGCTTGGAGGATGATCACGAACCAATTACTTCGCTTGTAATCGTCGAGAATACACATAATATATGCGGTGGCAAGGTGATATCGCTGGAGTGGCTCGATAAACTGGCAGCACTTATTAATGGCGACAAACAGATGCGACCCTACGGCCAACGTATTGCACTGCACATGGACGGGGCGCGTATATTTAATGCGGCCGTTGCGTTGCAAGTGCCGGTGGCACGTATAGCGCGCGATTTCGATTCAGTTAATTTTTGTTTGAGCAAAGGACTATCGGCGCCGGTGGGTTCGGTGTTAGTCGGATCAAAGACTTTCATTAGGCAGTGAGTATATATATAGAGCGTATTAGTGAGTAAGCGATAATCAAATACATTTGTGTGGGTGTTTGGTATAAGTATATATGTGTGTGTGTGTGTGCCTTGAAGGATGATGCAATTGAAGGTGCACAAATTGGTTCCATACATGAGTGTTACTGTGTGTGTGTGTGTGTGTGTGTGTGTGTGTGTGTGTGTGTGTGTGTGTGTGTGTGTGTGTGTGTGTGTGTGTGTGTGTGTGNTGTGTGTGTGTGTGTGTGTGTGTGAGTGCTAATACTAAGGCGCTTATTACGGCTTGCCAAGCGACGTTTTGATTGCATATAGAGGGATAGAGGGAAAGCCGAATTTGGCGCATTTATTTCGAGGAATTAGTGTTTGAATTCGATTGTCCCCATCCAAGTTGTAAGGTGGTTTTTGCTACGCCTTAACCGTTGCAAGTGAGCTTGATTTTGCACTCTCCATCCTTTACTTCCCAATTTCATTGCTAATCTTCACACTCTTTTCATTCTTAATATTTGATTTTCATTTTCATTTGTCCTTCCTAAATCTGTCTTACAGAGCACGTCGGCTACGCAAGGCTTTGGGTGGGGGTATGCGTCAGGCGGGCATTATTGCTGCTGCTGGCATTGTGGCATTGGATACAATTGTGCCGATACTGCACAAGGATCATGAAAGGACACGGCGCATAGCGGAAGGTAATTTTTATCGCACACCTTCGGCAATACATCACTGAGTGTAGGGGCTGTTAATGAAGTGGAAATTGGCTATTGAGAAATGTCCTTGAATTGGGCGTCTCTATATTCGCCGACACTCAATGGAGTCTAGACATTTGCCATTTGTACCGTTATAATGTTCATTTGAACATTTAAAAAATTGGTGTAAAATATTTTTTCCAGCCGCTTTTTGAATGCTTAACTTTAAATCCATTCATTTGTTGCATTTATTTATTTCAACTTTATTCCTTTCCTTATCCATTTTCGTTTTATTCCTTTCTCCTACCTTCCAGCCATTCACAATGCAAAGAGCCCAAATGTCACCGTCGATTTGGCTACAGTACAAACAAATATACTGCTCATTCGCCTCCCAAATCCGCAATACAGTGCGAGTAAATTTGCTGAACGTTGCGCTACAGTGAAACCGGAGGAACTTGCTGCCGGTCTGTGCAAGGAGCTGGGTATTGTACTGAAAGTGAGTGCACGCGATTGGGAGTTTGCACGAATTGTATTGTATCATCAGATCAGCGACGCGGATGTCGAATTGGCAATTAAGAAATTCAATTATGTGATACGTGAAATCGATGGCCAATTGGCTGGTTAATGTGCCATGTGGTTAATGTGCCATGTGACATATGAGAACATATAATAAATATATATTTTATGCTTCCAAAAAACACTGAAAAATAGTTTATATTTGATTGGATGGAGGAATTCAACTTTGGTTAATTTAATTCCACTTTATTTCACTTTAGTCTATTATCTTTAATTTTTGTAATTCCTTTCTTGATTGGATTCGTTTTGTTCTTATTTTCGCGGTTGAAATGGCGGAGTGACTAGCATTGCGTCCTAATATTTGGAAAATCAGTGCTGGTGTTCTGCTATGTAGTGAATGGCAACCCTTCTTGACGAATTTATGAGGAAAAATCATCGACCGTTGGGAAACTGTAGAAAAACAAAGAAGGTCGGTCGAAAGTTTCCTTAGCGGATTAAAAGTGTCTTAATATTTTACTTATTATAGTTATTAGAATAAAATAAAATATCTATTTTTAATTTAGTTTAGTTTAATTTAACTAGCATTTAATTTAATTTACTTCAGTTTATTTTATTTTTCTAATTTATTTCTCGTCATTTCTCATAGGTTTTATTTAATTTAATTCAATTTTTTCTTTTTATTTTAATATGCTATTTACATATTTCTTCATTTCTTTTCCTTTTCTAATTTTTCTTTATATTAAAATTAATAAATTTATAATTTTTTCATATATTTTTTATTCAATTTTTTATTTTATATTATTTTACTGTGTTTTATTTCAGTTTATTTGATTTCATTTATTTTTATTAAATTTTATTTGGTTTTATTTTTTTCTAATTGATCTTAATTTGCTGTATTTTATTTAATTTTATTCACCTTTTAATATTTTATTTTATGTTGTTTTATTTTATTTCATTTTAATTAAATTTATTATTTTTATTTTACCTTATTTTATTTAGTTTTATTTGTTTTATTTTACTTTCCTTACATTAGAATAAGTTTAGATTTCGTTTTGTAATATATTTTTTTATTTTGTTTCTATGTAAATTTTTCTATAATTTAATTTAATATGAATTAATTTATTTTATTTCATTTTATTTATTTTGTTTCATTTTATTTAATTTTACTTTGTTTTATTTCAGTTTATTTGATTTAAATTGTTTGCATTTTATTTAATTAAATTTTAGTTTTTTTAATTTTATTTTAGTTTGCTTTATTTTACTTTATTTTTATTGTATTTTATTTAAGCTGATATAATTTTATTTGAATTTATTCATTTTAATTTTGCTTAGTTTATTTTATAATATTTTATTTCATGTTATTTTTTATAATTTTTTTTTTTGAAATTATTGTATTTAATTTATCCTCGTTAAAGTTTTATTTTAAAATATTAAATTATAATTTATTTTTTTCTCTAATATTATTTTATATTATTTTACATTATTTTTTTTTATATAATTTAACTTTGGATTAAGTTAATTTATGATACTTAATTTTATTTTTTTACTTTTTTATTTATTTTAATTCGTTTTATTTTATATAATTTATTTAGTTAATTTTATTTCCTTTTTATTTTTGTTTATTTTATTTTATTTTCTTATTTTATTTTACATCTTTTAATTTTACGTTAGTTTACTTTGGTTCATTTTATTTCATTTTAGTTTATCTGGCTTCATTTGTTTGTATTTAATTTAATTTAATATTTTTTTTTAAATTTCGTTTCGAACGGTATAATTCGTTTTATAATAATTGTATCTGATTTTAGTTTATATGTTTTTATTTTAATTTATGTAATATAATTTATTTTAGTTNTTTTATGCTTCCAAAAAACATTGAAAAATAGTTTACATTTGATTGGATGGAGGAATTCAACTTTGGTTAATTTAATTCCACTTTATTTCACTTTAATCTATTTTCTTTTATTTTGGTAATTCCTTTTTGATTTGTTATGCCTTTTTTTTTGTAAATATCGCCGCTGAAATGGCGGAGTGACTAGCATTGCGTCCTAATACAATACTTAAAGAATCAGTGCTAGGGTTCTGGTAAGTAGTAAAAATTCTTTAAATTTAATTTTTCTGGTTTCGGGTGCGAATGGCAACCCTTCTGAATGAATTTATGATGAAAAATCATCGGCCGTTGGGAGACGGCTTAGCATAAACTGTAGATCTAGCCATTTATTAGAAAAAAAATGGAGATACACAAAGAAGGTCGGTCGAATGTTTCTTTACCGGATTATAAGCGCCTTAATATTTTACTTATAATACTTTTTAGAATAAAGTAAAAATTATATATTTTAATTTAATTAAGTTTAATTGAATGAACTTATAATTTAATTTACTTCAGTTTATTTAATTTTTCTAATTTATTTCATGTTATAAATTTTCAATTTGGTTCACGTCTTTTCTCATAGGTTTTATTTAATTTAATTTAATTTTTCCTTTTTATTTCAATTTACTATTTACATATATACATTTTTCTTATTTTATTTTGTATTAAAATAAATTTATAAATTTTTTATACAGTTTTTTATTTTATTTTGGCTTTTTTCCAATCTATTTTATTTTATTATATTTTATTTTATTTCATTGAAATTAAACTTATTATTCTTTATTCTACCGTATTTTATTTTGTTTTATTTCCTTTTGCTTGACTTTATTTTATTCTATTTATTTCATTTCATTTTGTATTATATTATTTGATTTTTTCATATAATTTTTTTAGTTTAATTTAATAAAATTAATATATTTTATTTTATTTTGTTTGTTTTGCCTCATTTTATTTAATTTTACTTTATTTTATTTCAGTTTATTTGACTTAATTAAATTTTAGTTTTTTAATTTTATTTTAGTTTGCTTTATTTTACTTTATTTTTATAAGCTGATATAATTTTATTTGAATTTATTCAATTTAATTTTGTTTAGTTTATTTTATATTATTTTATTTCATGTTATTTTCTCATAATTTTTTTTTTGAAATTATTGTATTTAATTTATCCTCGTTATAGTTTTATTTTAAATTATTAAATTATAATTTATTGTTTTCTCTAACTTTTTTTTATATTATTTTACATTATTATTTTTTATATAATTTTACTTTAGTTTAAATTAATTTATGATACTTTATTTTATTTTTTTTCTTTTCAATTTATTATAATTCGTTTTATTTTATATAATTTATTTAATTAATTTTATTTCCTTTTTAATTTTGTTTAATTATTTTATTTTTTGTATATTGTTTTATATCTTTTAGTTTTATGTTAGTTTACTTTGGTCCATTTTATTTTATTTTAGTTTATCTGGTTTCATTTGTTTGTATTTAATTTAAATTAATTTAATATTATTATTTTTTTTAATTTCGTTTCAAACGGTATAATTCGTTTTATAATAATTGTATCTGATTTTGGTTTATATGTTTTTATTTTAATTTATATAATATAATTTAGTTTAGTTTATTTTATATTATTAATTTTTTTATTTGAATTTTTTTTTGATATTAATATAATTTTCTTTTCTTTTTAGTTTCATTTTATATTACTTTATACTTTTCTTTTCACTTTATTATATTTTCTTTATTAATTTTTATTAAATTTTGTTTTTAATTTTTATTTCTATTTTTATTTTTATTTTATTTTTATTTGGTTTTAAAATGAAATTAATTAAACTGTATTAAAAAATAAAGTTCTTTAAGTAAAATTGAAATAAAAAGAAGGGAAGCAGAATACCAGCAGATTGGAGCCAATGAAATGATGGGAAAGAGCAAACAGTAAAGCTTAACTGGAAGCAGCTTTTGTGTTTTCCTCCTAGGGTGAACCTGCTGTGAATACTCTTCTCTTGGCAACCCGGAAATATAAACTTGTGGCTGAGTGTTTATGCTTCGTTTGGCACCCCAAAAAAGTTTCGCAAGCCCAAGTTCTACGTTGCTGCAGGCACTACAGACCATTGACTCATTGTTTAGTAAGAGTTGAGTTTGTTACAGAGATGGAAATATTAAATAAATAAATAACGCAAATGTACAATACATTGAAGGTTTTTGAATAATTAAAGAAAAGATATGAGAATTAATAATCATTTTATAAAATTCTACATTTCCAAGGTTCTATTCATTTGAATTAGAGCATTTAATTGCGTTTTTATTGAAATAAATTTTCTTATTAGCTTCAATTTGCAGTTTTCGACTGTTGTATGCAGAGGAATAAGAAGATGATTCGTGAAGTAAACAGGATGCGATATTGAAGAGACTGTTGCTACTTTATTACGGCAAAATGCCAGAGCTTTCAGACAATTTATTTGTAAAAAATCTGACAGAATATTTTAAAAGAAGATTTTTAAAATTTCAATTGAAGTTATGAATTTTTTATTGAAAGAATTTGACCGATCTTTACAATACTATCTTGAAACGTAGTTATGTATCCAAATACGATTGCTTATCATCACAAATTAACAAAAGTTTCGAGATTATTTCTCAAAATAAGCAAATTTCTTCTTTAATTCCACTAAATGAAGAAAGAATATCAAAGAAAAAGTTTCCTTAGAAATTTTCCGGCAGATTATTTTATTTTATGTGTGTTTTATATTATCTTTTATGATTTTTTTTAATTATTTTTTATGATCTTTTTTTTATTATTTTAATTTTTTTTTTAATTTTGATTTGAAAAGTTTTATTCTACTTTGCTTTATTTTATTTATTTTACTTCATTTTCTTTTAATTAATTTTTTTTTTGTTTGTGTTTACTTTAGTTTAATTTATTTTATGAGAATGTTTCTGAAAGACGAAAGTGCAGAATTTATTAAAAATATGTTTTACTTCTGATTTCTATATAAAATGATTTTTATTTTTTTATTGGTTTTTCACCAATACGGAAAATTCTGTAGAGTTTTAAATTTTATGTACGTTAAGATTAATGCGCTTCGATTTACACCAAGATCAGAATGAGAGCCACTGTCTTGTCACAACTTCCTAGTCACTAGCCCTTCTAATCCAAGTACTTTGATTCTCTGATAAACCTAAAATTATTTGCCTTAATTTGTGCTTCCTTGAATAGCTCTTATTAACGATTTTACTGAAATTTCGAAACCTCAATGTGCTCTGCCCAATCCGAACCAAGAGTGACTGCCTCTAAACCGCTGTGTCTGAATTGGGTAT